ATACAGGTTATAGATGTGTAGTCATGCAAAACACTTCCATAGTAGTCCTGTTGTGAAAAACTAAGTATATTTCCCTTCATCCTATCCTACCCCCCCATTTATTCTATTCTCTCTTTTGACCCTGTCCCACCTCAGAAGTGTTTACTTTTTATTATCTCCTCCCCCAATCTGCCCTCCCCTCTATCAACCCCTTGCTCTCTTGTCCTCTTCCCTCCTTATTTTCCTGTAGGGTAAGATAGATTTCCATACCCCATTGTGTATGTTATTCCCTCTTTAAGCCAGATTCTAGGAGAATAAGATTCACTCATTCCCTCTCACCTTCCCCCATTTCCCCTCCACTGTAAAAGCCTTTTCTTGTCAGTTTCATGTGAGATAATTTACGCCATTCTACTTTTCCCTTTCTCCTTCTCCCAGTATAATCCTCTCTCACCCCTTAATTTTATTTCCCAGATATCACCCCTTCATCTTCGACTCACCCTGTGCCCTCCATCTATCTATCTATCTATCTATCTATCTATCTATACATACATACATAGAATTTTTTCCCCTCCCACTACACTAATACTGACAAAGGACTCATGAGTTACAAATATCATCTTTCCCTGTGGGAATGTAAACAGTTCAACCTTAATAAGTCTCTTATGATTTCTCTTTCCTATTTACCTCTTCCATGTTTCACTTGAGTCTTGTATTTGATAGTCAAATTTTCTATTCAGCTCTGGTCTTTTCCTCAGGAATGCTTGAAAGTCCCCTGTTTCATTGAAAGACCATTTTTCACCCTGAAGGATTATACTCAGTTTTGCTGGGTAGGTGATTCTTGGTTGTAGTCCTATCTCCTTTGCCCTCCAGAATATCATACACCATGCCCTCTTGTCCCTTAATGGAGAAGCTGCTAAATCTTGTGTTATCCTGATTGTGTTTCCACAATACTTGAATTGTTTCTTTCTGGCTGCTTGCAATATTTTCTCCTTGACCTGGGAATTCTGGAATTTGGCTACAATATTCCTAGGAGTTTTCCTTTGGGGATCTCTTTCAGGAGGTGATCGGTGGATTCTTTCAATTTCTATTTTGCCCTCTGGTTCTAAAACATCAGGGCAGTTTTCCTTGATAATTTCTTGAAAGATGATGTCTAGGCTCTTTTTTTGATCATGGCTTTCAGATAGTCCAATAATTTTTAAGTTCTCTCTCCTGGATCTATTTTCCAGGTCAGTTGTTTTTCCAATGAGATATTTCACATTCTCTTCTATTTTTTCATTCTTTTGGATTAGTGTTACAGTGCCTTGATTTCTCAAATTGTCACTAACTTCCAATCTCTCCATTCTAATTTTTAAGGAAGTATTTTCTTCAATAAGCTTTTGGACTTCCTTTTCCATTTGGCCAGCCTTGCTTTTTAGGGTATTCTTCTCCTCATTGGCTTTTTGGACTTTCTTTTGCCATTTGGGTTAGGCTATTTTTTAAGATGTTATTTTCTTCTGTATTTTTTTGGGTCTCCTTTAGCATCACTCTCAGTTTTTCCTCTACTTCTCTTACTTGCTTCTCAAAATACTTTTTGAGCTCTTCCATGGCCTGGGATCAATTCATATTTTTCTTGGAGGCTTTGGATGTAGGAGCTTTGGCTTCATTGTCTTCTTCTAGTTGTATGTTTTGATCTTCTTTGTCACCAAAGTAAAATAATATAGTCTGACTCTTTTTGTGCTGTTTCTCATGCTCCCAGCTAATTACTAGAGTTATAAACCCTTTGTTAAGGTAAGGGACTGTTTCCAGTATGGAGAATGTACTGTCCCAAGTTTCAGGGGTTTTGTGCAGCTGTTTTCAGAGATACTTCTTTATATGTAAATTTTCAGTTCTTCCAAGGTGCAGTGATCAAGGGCAAGGTATTTATTCCTCTCCTGGCCTGTGCTCTGGTCTATGAGTGACCACAAACACTCTTTTCTGTCTTGGAACTGTTAGGGTTTCTCTCCACAGCCACTACAAGCTCCACCATGCCAGCATTCCTCCTCGCCCCAGGATCACCACCCAGAACTGTGACCCAGATCCAGGCATGGGCAAAGCAAGAGAATCCTGCACCAGCAGAGAGATCCCTGCAATCTCCCACTGATCAGCCACTCAATTCCCCCTCAGTCTATGGGCTGCTCAGGAGGCAGCTGCCACCCCAAGGCCAAGCTTGGGGAAGGGAGCTGGAGCCCCATGCTTCTCTGTCACCATAGAAACAGACTTTTCCCACTGACCTTCTAAGTTGTCTTTGGCCTTTGTGGCTTGAGAAGTGTGGAAACCACCACAGCTGCCTGTGATTCAGTCCTCTGAGGCCTGCTCCAGGTTTGCTGTGGCCTGTGTGCCCACGCCAAATTGCGCTCCTCTCACCGCATAGCGCGATATACCTTTCTCATCAACCATCCAGGCTTTCTTTGGCTGGAAATTTGTTTCGCTCACTCTTTTTGTGGGTTCTGCTGCTTTAGAATTTGTTTAGAGCCATTTTTTACAGGTATTTGGAGGGGTTTGGGGGAGAGCTCAAGCAAGTCACTGCTTTTACTCTGCCATCTTGGCTCCACCCCTGAGAAATGTATTTTGACTAGATGACTTATGAGTTTCTACTTTTCTCTGAAAAAAAATAATCCATGTTAATTAACCTTTATTATGTGCCCATTATACACAACTCACTTGTGGCCTTTGTGTTTTTCCTTTAGTATTTCATGGATAAACAGTAACATTCAGTGTTGTCCTTCGCTTATGTCACAAGACCAGCTTGCCTTCTTCTTTTTTGGTCATGTATGTTCTTTTGTCTTCTGTGCCATTTTTCACATGTGAAGCATCACTAAGATTGTGCTACAGCTGCTTTCACCCATTGTGTAATTTTGTCATCCTTTGGATGTCACAAATCAGAGAGGGATAGCTAATGTTAGTTGACAGAATTAAGAGTCTAAATTATTTTAAGAGACTGGAATTTTGGGCCCAGACTAACAAATTAAAACTTAACAATGGCAAATGTAAAGTCTTCCATTTAAAAAAAAAAAACAAAAAAACCCCACATGCTTGAATGCATTATGGGAAAGACCTAGCTCAATGCAAACTAAAACTATAGTGAAGCCGCTGTGAACTTAGTATGTATCAATAGAATCCTAGTGCCCAATTCAAGGTAATTATCTAATAGTACTCTGCACTGCCAAGGTCACATCCAGAATAATGTATTTGGTTCTAGGCACTACATTATAAGAACACTGATAATTGAATGTCTTTCTCAGGTAGGGCTACTGGAGTGGCTAAAGATCTAGAAACTACATTGCATGAGCAGCAAATGAAGGAAATAGACAAGAAAAGATTTAGAGGGCTGTCTTCAGATATCTGAAGGGCTATCATGAGAAAAAGAAAATAGAATTGTTCTGTATGACTCCAGCGGGATTCAACTAGAATCGATTTGTGGAAGTTGTAGAGCGGCAGTTTTTATCTTAATATAAGGTTGAAGTTCCTAATACAACTATCCAAAAATGGAATGAGCTCCTTCATGAAGTAGTAAGCTCTCCATCACTAGATGTGTCTCAGCGTAGGCACCATAATTCACCCTCTCTCCACATGCATATAATTTTGGTTTTGTCTTTGACTCTTCCTTCTCATATTCAAGTTACCAAGTCCTATCTATTACACCTCCATGATAGGCAATGAACATTTGTCCTCTCCCTCCCCTCTTTCTTTATGCCACCAACCTAGTAAGGCCTGGAATATTACTCACCTGGACTGTTGGCAGTAACCTCTTAATGGGTTTTCTTGCTTCGACTTGTTCCTCCTTTCAGTCAATCAGATCAGTTAATAAGTGAACATTTATTAAGCTACTATGTCAGGTACTGTGATAGATGCTGAGGGAAAAAAAAATGAGCTGCCTTAGAAGGTGGTGGACCCCCATTATTAGATATTTTCACTCAGAGGTTAGATGAGTACTTGACAGTTATGTGACATTGGTGCAGAAATCTTCAATGCTTCCTGTTTCTTCTCAGGTTCAGGTTCCTTTATCTTGGCATTCAAAGTATTCTAAAGGTTGAAGTGTGCCCATCCCCCCCCCCCACTCTTCCAGCCTTATCTCATATCGCTTGCCGCCATACTTCCTAAATCCCTGCCAAACTAGACGTCTCTGTTCCCTCAGCACACATTGCACTCCCCTGCTTCTCTGCCTTTATTCATGATGTTTCCTGGCCCTGGAATGTCCTCCCATCCCTTCTTTGCCTCTCGAATTCCCACTCATCTTTTAAAACTCATCTCAAGTACCATATCCTCCATAAAACTTTGCGTGACCCTCCTGGTCAATAACAGCCTTCTTCTCCTTAGGTTTGCACTTTGGTAACTCAGTCATCACCTACTATTTTGTGTCGTGGTTTTCTGTGTTTGTATCATATCCCTTTGCTGCTTCATGATAGCAGCTACTGACTTAATCTTAACTTACAGTCTTCCATAGCACCTAGCACAGATCTTTGCAAACTATAGGTAATCAATGGCTGTTGAATGAGTAAATGAACAAAAATACTAAAATACTCTCATTAGCTTGCATCGCAGTATCTCAGTGTCATAGGGGGAGGAGGCAGGGCAGAGGAAGAGTTAACTTTTAAGTGATTTAAGTTAACACCAGTGTTTATTTTTCCTGGATAAATCTGCCTGAAGTAGGTTGTTACCAAAAAGGCCTTTCCCAGAGGGGCTAGAAATATCAGCCTAGCCCCCTGAGTGGATTAGTTTGACTATTCACACCTCCTAAGTTGATGGGAGAAAGGTTTCTTCTTGGAATCCCAGAGCCACCTCTGTGTGTATGGTACAGATGTTACGCTCTACACAATGGAAACAGTGTCTTTGCATATGGTATTCTTCCCTAGAGAAATGGAATTTGGACAGGGCCCCATATCCCAAGTGTCCTTCAGATTCTGTCCTGGGCATTTTGCATGGCATTCAGTGAAACACCATAGCACTGCAGGAAAAGGAGCAAAATCTCCTGCAATCTTAACAGGCTTCTCTTCTTTTGTAAGTGTTGACTCGGAAAAGGAAACGGGCCATGAGTAAGAGTGACACTGGGAGAGAGATCCAGCCATCCCTAGACATTGACAAGTAAGTAGGTATGCTACATTCTTGGCACTCTTGTTTGCTATGAAAAAGCTTGTACTAAACAAAGAATCCAGTTCCTGTTTCTAACTGTGCTTCGCTAGCATGTCAGTCACTGCATTATTTGGATAGCCTGAGTTTCTTTTCCTTCATTTCAGTTTGCATCAATGTAGGCGGCCCCATTGCCTTCCTCCAAACTCAAGAAAAAAACCTCCAAAATAATAAAAGCTGCCAGTCACCTCACCCATACCACTTTTAGCCTCCAGTTCGCTTAAAGTTCACATTCCTATGTGGAGCCTTGTGCAGCCCTCAGAAAAGTGTGGGCTATTTTCCCATTTTGTAGTTAAGAGCTGGGTTGTGGAAGGTTATGCAATGAAATAGATTAGACTAAAAGCATCGTAAAGAAGAAGGGGGCTATTTGCAAATACCTTTCCCTGGAAATAGTTGAGATACCACTAATGTGAAATTAGGGTGGCTAATTAAAAGGCAAAATCATTTAGCATTAAGACACAGATATTAGATAGTAAATCTTAGGACTAAAAGGAACTTTGACAGATCATCTGGTCTATTCTCTACTTCAAACAAAACCCAACTTGCATCCTCTGTATTTCTTAAGGGCTTGCTCTTTCAAGGCACTGTGCACTGGTTAGGTGATTGAGTATCTGTCCTTTTTCAGATATGTCCATAGAAGGGAGTCCACAAACTTTCTTAGTAAAATAAATTTCTCTACTGTATCTCAGTCTCTTATTGTTATGGTTATTAAATACAGGAGACCAGAAAGAAAAACTCAGGGTATTATGCCCAAGAGAGGCTTTATTTGGAATTATTTGGCTCCATAGTGTTTCACAGCATTGCTAAATGTGGACTTTCCCCTTAGCTCCAGAGAAACAAGACCCTCTTTCTTTTATCTTTAATATATTGTTTTGGGTATATACTGTCTTCCTTCTTGATGCCCTGGTTAGATTATTTTACGGACTCAGCTTTCTCCTCAGTCTCTATCCTGAACTACTCTGGAGGCTGCAGGTGGTTAGAGTAAGACAAAAAGAAACAAATATATGGGAGATGTTAAGATAATGTAGATTCTACATCAGAACCAGGAGTTTGGGGGAACTTCTTAGTTTATGATGCAGGTTGTGAAATGAAGTAAGCACATAGAGTTGATTTACTAATCAGAAAACTACATCCACCCCCCCCCATAAAATGTCATCTTGATTTAATGTACTTGCTCCTTTTTCTGTCGAAATTTTAACTCTCCTTTGAAAAAACCATAACACTTAATTTCAGCAGAGTTTGACAGAATGTTTTATGTCTGAAGAGCAATCAGCATTGTTTGAGATAGTTAGAAGAGCTGATTTCATTACCATCCCACTGCTGCAGCAGCAGGGTACAGAGGAACAGCCAGGGAAAACTGCTAATCACTCAGTCCTTTTGATTGGCGTCGGGTTAGTTTTATTGGTGATCCCGCTGAGCAAATCTGCATTGCTAGACATGTCTTCTCTGTGGAATAACTTGGAGAAGTAAAAACACCATTTGAGACATAGCCAAGAGCTCAGAGGCACAACAGAATACTAAAACTGCTTTTCTTTTCTCCTGGTTGCATAGGAGTGAGAAATGTTACCTCTGCAAATCCCTGGTTCCTTTCAAAGAGTATCCAAGTCATGTAGACTTCTGCCTTCAGATTGCAGCAGATAACCAGGGAAACAAACTGGAAAGAGACAATGGACAGCCTTCAGATTTTGAAGGAAAAGGTGTGAGGCAGAGGACCACCAGGGTAAGTGGCAGGTTGGGTGAGATGGGATTTACTGAACCATTCATTTCACCTGTGTACACTTCTTGGTTAAAGGCCACATTGTCTTTTTGTCTTGGAATTATCTGTATTCTTGATCTCTACTTAGAGCTCTGAAACATCCAGAGTAGTCAAAGTACCTGAAAAGAACAGGGAGATAGCCAACTGGGCTCTCTAAGATGGGTGTGTCTTGACCAGGAATTGTGGAGAGTATGCAGGCAACCTTGATGAAAGATTAGATAATAGACTTTTTCCAAATTCTGGATTCTAGTTGAATTTTTCATCTTAGAGCAGAGAGTAAAATGTAGGCATCAATCTAGCATGTGAGGTAAAAGAGACCCTTTAAGAAAGTTATTGCATGAAGGTGACAGCCAGTTGTATGTCAAGATCTAAAGGAGAATTTTTATTCCTTGAGACAGGTAAATTCGTTTGGCTTGCTACCTGGGACTAACCTTCTTATCTTAACCTTCCCAAGTCCACTATGGAGCTGTGGTCTTTGAGATAATCTTGTTGGGCTAATTCTGGACAAACTCTTTAACTCTTATCATTGATTATGAATATCAGATGGCTCCCCATCTGAATAGGGTCTCAGTCCTTGGATAGTATTGTTCTTGCCTCAGCTGGACTCAAATTGTTCATGGCTTCCTTCTTTTTTCTTATCTTTTTTATTGATAAATTTTGTTTTTAAGACACCTGAAAAATATAAAACAAAGACTCAAGCCGTGAAGTATACTTCTGGAAAATTGCTAGATGTTTACTAGAATATATGCGGTACCATATATATTTGTTAAAAGGAAAACAATTCATCTTTATTTATCTTTATTAGTTTTATCTCTAAGGCAGTACCAACATTGCCCATGGTATTATTTCTGTGTAATTCCTTAATCTACATAATTGTAGTCAGTTCATTGGTTGATCTTTTGGATCTACTTTCTATTTTTACTTTATTTTTTTATCTGCTTTTGTCACTTTATATTTCTTTGAAGGTTTCATATTTGTCATTGCTTACAACTCATGGCCCTTCTTATCTGTATATTCCTATTTTTTAGAAAGCAAAATATTATTTCTAGAACTGTCCTACAGCTTTTTTCACCTGCAGAAAAAAGTGTGATCTGAGGTAACACAGTTATATTTTAGGATTTGACTGGCATGGTGATTTCTTCTGCAAGAAGGTGACTGTTCTGTCTTTCTTCTCCAGGAAGGGAATAGGAATGGAGGCCGACTCCTCAGCTTGTTGGAGCAATCTGAATATAAGTCTGCAGGTGAGTGTAGAACCACTTTCACTAAGAAGCCCAAAGTGTTTTCTTATAAAGAAGCCCTGACCTTTGCTTTGTTTTGTTTTATTTTATTTTATTTTTGAGGCAATTGGGGTTAAGTGACTTTCCCAGGGTCACACAGCTAGTAAAGGTCTGAGGCTGGATTTAAACTCAGGTTCTCTTGATTCCAGGACCAGTGCTCTATGTCTACTGCATTACCTAGCTGCCCCTGGCTTAGCCATTTAACCCTTTAGGATTATTCCAAATTAGTGTAGTGTAAAGAAGATTGGATTCAAAATTCTTGAGTATGAATTTCAATCGTGTTGCTTATTCAGTTTCTTCTTTTGTGAAATGATGATTTGGACTTGATCTTTGAGCTCTGTTCCTGCTTTAAATCCTACATTACCCTATGGAAGGCAGCTCTGTCTCCTTTACCACTGTTTCATTTCCAGCTCTTTAGTAGGGTCAGCAAAACCTTGTAAACTTGGATAAGTACCTTTCTGAAATGCACAGGAAGGATATATATGCTGTTTTACAAAAACTTGTGAGGGAAACTTGGCGTTCAAATATTTTTAATTGATTCTTCTAATACCTTGTGCTCAGTTTATATATGCTACAGTTAAACATTAGAGCAGAGCCCTAAACTGATCTTACTAGGAAGTTTTCTCATATAGTAGACACAGGTGAGCAAGGAGTTTTTGATCAAATGTCAATATTTACTAAATCACCCACTTTCTCCGGGTGAATCAGTGAATTCACCTGTATTTGTTTCTACCCAACATATCTGAAGTCAGAGTATTGCTGGCCTTATTGGAGAAATGTATAGTAGAATATTTGATCTGAAGCAAAGTGTGATGGAAAAACCAAGTTCTCTCTTTCCTTTCTTGTCACAGATACTGATATGAAGACAGAGTCATCAGAAGGAGAAGCTTTCAGGTGAATTCAGGACTGCTTTAGTACTTTGAAAACCTGGGAAATACAAACTCAGTTACACTGTTTATTTGATATGATATTTGTCTTATGCAAATTGGTAATATGGAAAGAAGAGAAGAAAATTTTGAAAAATCCTTAATACGTGTTTCATCTGTTATGTAACAGAGTTAAAGTCATAGTGATTACATTATTTTCCAAATAAACACACAGAATGCAAGTTATAACTGATCAGTGGTCAAGTCCGCTGACAGGTCTTAACAAACAAGTGTTGGCAGGTGAGTATGTTGAACATTGTTAGGAAGTCCAACCTGTATAGGTAGGAATGTGAGTATAATGACTTGTTTACTATAAAATGTTATATGAATGCATGACATAATATTGTGTCATCAAAATTTCGATGTAGAAAATGTAAATTTACAAGAAGTTATTATTGTATATAGATGTGTCATTTTTAAAAAAATATATTTTATAGTTAAAAATTATGCAAATTAAAAAACCATTGAAGAGTTAAAGAAAGTAGATTTCCAGGACGACACTAAGTAATTTTTTTTTAAAGGCAAGGGTAGGCAAAGACAAGACAATGGGCTTACTAGGTAGGCAGGTACCAGGTGCTATTCTCCTGTGGCACCAACACCCATCTTTGGAGCCTTTTTCTTTTTTTGGGGGGGGGTGAGGCAATCAAGGTTAAGTGGCTGTGGAGCCTTTTTCTTTAGAAAATGGAGGAGATTCAATTAATTTGTAAATATGTGGATTGGCATTTGGAACTGCTGGCTGTGTTTATCCAGAGGCAGACCATGACAGCTTGGGCTTCCCTTCCTTTTCCCGATTTTCTGAATAGTCATTGCAGAAAGGAAAAGCAGACAGCAATTCCACATCGTAAGTAGGTAATAAAGAAAGCATTTTTAAAAAAATCCTGTTTCATGCCCTGAAGATGCCCAATACTTGTTTCTGAAGAGGATTTTATGAAACTCTTTGTATGAAGTTATTTTACAAGTTTACTTGAGTTATCTAGTCTTATGAGCATGTGTCATAAGCCTCAGGCTTAGCACAGAAAAAAGGATTTTCAAAACTTGGTTGACCATAAAATTGGGATAGAGATCAGTTGAGAAAATGTGCTGGTGATTTTTTTGAACCCCTTTGAATTTTTATTCATTTCCCCCTCCTCATCAGGTATCTTCCCTCAGAGATGGAGAAGGCAGATTGTAGCAGAGCAGGCCAGAGCTCTTTTAACTTGAATGACTCTCCCATCAAGTCTTTTGTTTCTATTTCTGAAGCCAAGGATTGCCTAGTGGACTTTAAAAAGCAACTTTCCATTCGACCAGGCAGTCGGAAACGGACCAAAGCAAGCAGAGGAAAGAGAAGAAAATCTTGAGCTTCTTACAGTGGAAGGTTGACAGATTCCTGGAAGAAATAGATGGCTGGACTTCTTTTAGCAGGCCCTTTACTATTCTTTCTTTACCTGTTGATTAGGGTCAGGCCATACCATTGTCATTACAACTACGCGTCTTTAAAAAAATATTTTCTATCATCTGTATAGGGAAACAATGTATAGAATTTGTGTTTTCTAATTGCTTGTCTGAAATTGCTTATAGTTAAAAGAAAATTTAAATATATTTATGTATGTTTATATGAAACTCTGAAGCAATAAGGTTTTTCCTTTCTTTCCTTTGTTTTTGGTTCCCAATGTCAGACATACTAGTTTTGGAGATAATGAATTACAGATCATGTATTTCAGATTTAAATGCATCATTGGTTTTAGATGTGTCACCAATATTCTTCTTGATCTTTGGTCAATTAGTGTATGTTGTACATTCCCAAGCAGTTTCTGTGGTCACTCTCTTGAACTTTTTAGCTCTTTTTCTCCCCTGAGCTTCATTCCAAGGAGCTCTATCTGTCTGCAACATTCTTTCATCTGCTTGATGATTCCTGGCCTCATTCTACAGTGCATACACCAGACAAAATTCTAGGTGGCCATTCCTAGCAGTATTTCTCCCTAAAGTAAGAGAATGCTTTGAAATCAGTCATTTGTCCAGCCTCACCAGACTCCTGTTAGATATAGCCATTTTCCCTTCACAGCATAGACAATGGAAATGTCAGGTATAACCTCTTGGTTAGAAATTAGCTCAGCTCTGCTTAATGCCAGAGATAACAGAGGCAGCAGAGAGCATCTCTGATTTCATGGTGTGTTGCACCATTGGGTGTTTCCAGTGTACAGCCGAGATGTGGCCCAAACTTTATTCAGTATGCTAGCAGGCTTTTAAAGATGATAAAACATAGTACAATAGGAAAAGAAGATATGCAAGGTATATGAGAGAGGGGAAGCTGGGTGTAATGGAGAGAATATTCACTAGCCTTGGAGTCATGAGGCCTGGTTTTAAATCCCATCTCTGCTTAATACCTACGGGACCTTGGGAAAGTCATTAACTTTAGGGGTTTGGACTACTTAATCTAAGGTTCCTTCCAGCACTAAATCTTGTGATTCTTCGATAAGATTCTTTGTGGCAATAAATTCCATGATCCAATTGATAAGAATATTGACAAAGAGCTAGGTTTGGTCAGAGCCTCTTTGAAGGTACACCAGGAAGGTAAAGGAGGTGGCACCTGGACCTTTAACTAGGGGAAGCCTCAGCTTGAAGTTTCCTCTGACTTCTGCTTCTGAAGTCAAATTTTTTGTTTTTGAGCACTGGGATGTAATGTTTGTTTGGTCTAGATTTCCAGAGGCCCCTGGGATAAAAGGCACAATTCAGGTCTAAGTTCTGGCTGAAACTACCCCCATACTGTTACTTTCAGGTATTGGGGTGCTGCTCTATAGTTTTTACTGTTTTGGAAGAAGATGGGAAATAAGGAAACAAGATCCTGATCCTTTTTTGGTGAAAGAAGGCAAGACTGTGGGGCAACCTAAATGTTTGCTGTCAGTCTTGCTCCTTCACATCCCCAAGGGGGAGCAGTCTGACCTTGGCACCATTTGCTAGGGGGGCATTGTGACCTGTGCCAAACAGTCACTCTGTACTCCTGAGAGGGAGTCCCCTCTACTTCTCTTCAGTGCTGAGAAAAATGTTGCATTTTGACTGTGATATTGATTCTTTACCTGTTTTCCTTCTAATGAAAAGCAGTTTATCAGTTATGCACCATCAGCTCAACTCATGCTAGTTTTCCTTCTCATTAAATGACAATTTATTGAAGTTAGACCTCCCTAAACAGGGGATATAGTGTTTATCTCTTCGTCTAAAGATTAAGGAAGCAACGAACTGATCCTGGAACATGAATTACTTTTCCTTAAGGTTAAGCAGTCACTGTGAAAGTTTTGGTCAGTTGAAGGAGGATAGAAATTATGAAAATGGGAACCCAAGAGTCCCAGTTATCTCATCAATTCACTAACAGGAAGTCAGGGTTTTGTTTGTTTTTTTAAATTTTTTTTTTTGGTGAGGCCTCCTCTTAATTTTTACTTTTTAGAACTAGAAAATAATTTAAATCTTTCTCTACCTTACTAACACTGTGCCTCAGCTTCAGTCTTACTCTGCAATCTCCCCCAGTACCTGGGGCCTTCTTAACCTGAAACATCTCATTGGTGAGTTTCTCCTGGGGCCTCTGTTTTGGGGATGATCCCAGGCTGGTCAATCTTCATTTCCTTCCTGGCTTTTTTTCTGACTTTCCAGACTTAAAACACCATATGCCTGTGCCAGGTACTTTCACCTCTCCTCTACCTTTCCAGCTTCCTTTTGTATGCTGTGTTCTCCCGTTAGATTGTAAGCTCCCTGAGGGCAAGGACTGTTTTTTGCTTATATTTATTTGTATCCCCAGAGCTTAGCCTAGTGCCTAACACATAATGAATACTTAATAAATTATTGTTTCCTTGCCTTGCTTTGCCTTACCAGTGATAGTAAAGAAGTCAAACTTCCCCTGTGGGTTTTTCCTGCCTTAGGGACCTCAACACAAGAGGTTCCTATTTGCTAGGAGATGGGGAAACTACCATTAGAAATGACTACTTTGCAACTTGGTTGACCTTGTAAGTACTAAAAGCTTTTTTTTTTTTAAATTTGTACTACCACAAAGAACCTAGAATGTTAGAACTGGAAGGGATCTTTGAAGAGTATGCTTGAACTTGAAGAACCTTAGAACATCAGTTGTCAGAGCTAAAAACGACATTAAAATATAATAGACTCCATTTCTATGATAACAATAGCAAACATTTACATATAGCACAATACTGTGTGCCAGATACCAGACTAAGCACTTTACAGTTATCTCGTTTGATCCTCACAACAGTGTTTGGAGGTAGGTGATATTATGGTCCCGATTTTACAGATGAGGAAACTGAAGCAAGCAGAGATTAAATGCCTTTCCCAGGTCACACAGCTAGTAAGTGTCTGAGACCAGAAGCAGATCGGGGTCCCCCTGACTCCAGGCCCAGGGCTCTACCCACTGTGCCACCTAGCCATCTATATAAAGCTTTAGGATTTACAAAGTATTTTCCTATTTATAGCAATCCCGAAGTAGATAGTGCAGAAATTATGCCTATTTTGCAAATGAGGAGACTGAAACTTAGAGAAGCGATTTTCCTCAGAACCAGCGTTCCCATTGAATGAAGCCAAAATGCATCTTCCTGTAACAGCCCACTTATTTGTGGCTTTCTTTGCTATAACCTTGTGAAGTAGGTAGTATAAGGATGAAAAGATAGGATGTTGGTGTTTGGAAAGATCCATGGGAGATAGTAGACATCTTTTAGAAGAAGAAACAGTATCAGTGAAGTGATCGGCCCAGAGTTGCCAGGTGTGGGAGCTGGGACTTGAACATAGGTCTTACATGTCCTGTGTGTTTCCCAATGTCATGCTTCTTCATTCCTCTGGTTCCTATATTTCAATTAGTTACTTCCCCTGACCTCATATTTTCTGAGCTTTTGGAGCAGTTTGAGAATGGGGTACTCCACCAGGTGGAGAAATAGGGAACTGGTAGGGACAGTTTTTCCTCCAGGTTTCATTGTCCTTATATAGTACCAGGAGTACTAGATTTGGGAGCAGAAGATCAAGATGCCATTCTCGCCTCTGTCACTGTTTGTCCTTGGACAGCTGCTGTGAGCCTCAGAACAAGAACCGTAGATATATGCATTCTGAGGACCCTTGTAGCTCCAAATCTATGATCTCACAATTCATTGAGTTAAGGATTTATTGAAAATACAGTAGATTTGGGTTACCTTGAGTGCATGTTGACGGTGGGAAATGCAAGAAGGTATAAAGAATCTTAGCACTGAAAAGGCAGGTGGATGGAGCACTGGCCCTGAAGTCAGGAAGACTCCTCATGAGTTCAGATCTGGCCTCAGACACTTCCTAGCTGTGTGACCCTGCGCAAATCACTTAACCCTCGCTCAGTTCCTCAACTGTGGTGGCTAGTAGCACAATGGATAGAGCACTGGCCCTGAAGTCAGGAGGACCTGAGTTCAAATGTGACCTCAGACCAAATACTTGACATGTGTGACCCTGGGCAAGGCACTTAACCCCAATTGCCTGAGGGAAACCAAATCAGCTTTGGAGGTAGACTGACTACCCTTAGCAGAAAGACACTACTTAGAACATTGCTTGTTTTTAAAGCCTTACACCATCTAGTTAGATTAAATTCTGCGTATAGGGCAGGTCCAGAGCTAGAAGAGTCAGAAATCATAGAAGATGTGATGATAGTACTGTCATGTTTGGCCCCAGACTTGGAAACATTAGCTCTTAGTGTCTTCCTTCTTTATACTTTAGCCTTCTTTAACATCTGGGGTCAGAAGCTAAGAGCGTGAGTTTGAACTACGTGCAGATTTTTTCTTGTTGGTCACTGACCTTTGATGCTGGGAACGAGCTCCTGACACCTTGTTTTGTTGCCCTCGGCTCTCAAAGGGGTCTTTGGGGCCCCTTCCTCTCACTGTGTTCCCTCTAGAAAGAACAGCTGACTGGAGCCTACCTTTCTCTAGGAGAGCATTGGAAGCATGCTTCCCTCAATTATTCCTAGTCAAACTCCCTTGTTTTGTAGATGGAGAAATTTGAATCCCGTAGAGAAGTAATTTGCTTAAGAAAAGTTGCAAAACCAGAATTTTTACCCAGGTTTTCTGAGTCTAAGACACTTTTCCCCTATGTCCCACTGCCTCTCGATAGTCTCAAGCCTGGGCTATTTCTTTTGTTACTCACCTGGCTTTGAAGAATTCAGGAAGACTCTGAATCCAAAATCAGAAAAAAAAGAGGGATGGTGTGTCTATGCATATACATCTCAGACAAAGCACAGAGATGCAAACATGAGAGAGTGAATTTGTATTGAACTTGGAAGAAGAGACGGAGAAGTCTGGTGGTATCATATACCTTAGGATACTAGCAAAGACCATGTCTGGGAGTGGGCCCAGGCTTGCCTATGTAGAAGGTGAGGTAAGGCTGCTGTTTCAGGCCTCTCAGAGCCTCACATTTGAGATTCTCCAAAGACTCACTGGCTTCTTGATTCAATTTCTCAATGCACCATTAGAGAGCATGTGATTGAAGTCATTGATGATTGGGTCTCTGCTATTTTTCCATACTTGGTTCTCAAAGAGAACCAATGACATCATGAGGGTGATGTTTTGACCTGTGCCTGAATTGGGTTTAAATGAGGCAGAGTTGCATAAAGTTCTCAGCCTCACTGTCTTCTCCAGAGTCATCGAAGTCCAGTGGCAAGACAAAAGTCAAAAAGAATGGCCTGGCCGTGGCACAGAACGGAGTGGTTGAGCTTGGCCTTTCTAAAT